GTGGTGCTCAGTTGCCAACTGAGGTTAAACCACGACAGTCCTTCAGACTGGCTACTGGCCTACACAACTTAGAAGGAGATCTTTCACATGTAGTCCCACCCCTGTCCAGGAATCCCTGAGAGTGTTTCTGTCATTTTCCAGAGACCCTTTGCTGGAGTAACAAAGGGTTTTTTTAAAGTAATTGAAATGGGTCAGAGCTTTCCCAGTATCTGCTTACGCTGAGCCTCTCCCAGCCAGGCAAGTGCATTTTCAGCAGCTCCAAACTGAGGCCCATTTTAAAAACCGCAGGCATGATAGTAACTATGTGATAAATCTGATTTACTGTAAAGTGCTGTCAGCTCAGGCTTGGCTCTAAAAAAAAAAAAAACCCAACACAAAAACCCCCAACAAAACAACTCAAAACCAATAGAAATAATTCCTTTAGAAATTATAGTAGTGATAGCCTTGCTTTTAAACAGATAAGTAGCCCCTGGCAGAACTTGGCATCTCTGAAAATACTGCAGCACTCAGAACCTAAAATACAGAAGATGGAAAAATTAGACTTACCTAAAATCAGTTGTGCTAGCTTTTCAGTGGCCACACTGAGAGGAAAGCACACTCTTCCCTTTTTAATAAGTGATTGATTTATTGATAATAAAGTGCATCTGAGATATACTCAGAATGGTAGATTTTATAGGCAGTAACCTAATAGCTTGAACCAGCTGTTTGTAGCTGCACATTAAAACTTTGACCTTGGGCTTTCATGCTACTCTCCCTTCCCCACCTTGGCTTTCTTGTAGCAGCCACAGCAGCATCCTTGTCTTGAAGGAACTGTGATGTGTTTTTTGCTGTTACCCATGTTTACCCACTTGGTAATTTTTTCTTTCCTGTTTTTCACTTATTTTGGACATTTTATAGCAAGAGGTGGTCGCCTTGTGTAGTAGTGTTCCCTGAGGTTTAAGAAGCATTCATTCATTGCTGGAAATGGTATACGAAATGGTATTCTTTAGAGAAATCTTTTTTTCCCTTATAAAATGAAAACTGAACATTTTAAAAGACATCATATACAGAAAGTGTGCTGCAGGAATTTGAAGTGTATGGAATGTTCCCAGCTACCTCCTCTGAGGATTTCTTCAGCACTTGTTAATTAGAAAACGCCTGTCAATAGAAAAGGTCTGCCAGTTTTCACATATATTAAACAGCATATTATCTCCAAAGTTAAAAATTGTTTGATAGACCATATTAAGTGTTGATCAGCCTGGGAACATCTAATGTCAGTGAAACTTGCTGAGATGATTAATTATTCTTCTTCAGGGTAACTAAACCATATGGCAAAACTAACTTCTATAACTGAGGAATTGCTCTGAGGCACTGAGTGGGGAAACAATCCTATTTAAAAGGAACACTCAAGGCACTTAATGTGTCTTGATGGTATTGAGAAGGATGAATGTCAGTGGAAAACATACTCATTTGTTTATAACAAAATAACATTCTAGTGAAATATTGACATGCTCTAACCTCTTTGAAAGTACAAGAAGTGATATGAATAACTCAATGCACTCAGTAACTGCATTAATTGCAAAAATCAGTAAATCTATTTTTTAGACCTATGAACAGGAAATCAGACTTCTAGTAAAGTTCCCTGGGAGCTACGTGACAATGTTGCTCTGGGTTTAGCCCAGATGCATAATTTTGTGTGTCATACAGGTCAAAGATTTAAAAAGGGAATCTATCTATATACAAATCATCCTTCCACTTCAGTAGCAAAAGTTTTATGTATAAACATGTGCTCACCACCAGCATGCAAGAAGATTGTGCCTAGAAAAATATCCTTTGATATTAATTCATTTATTTTTCTTTAGCTTGAGTTGGTTTTATGTTTTTCACTCTATTACAGTATGTTTGCACAACCAATGATACCCAGAGTTGACTATTGATGTTTATTGAATCATTCATATCAAATAAACACTTTTGGGAGTCTAACCACGGAAAGTAAAAGCATTCATTTGAGAGGAGAGAAATCAGAAATTCTTATTGGAAGAAAAGGATGTCTGCTTGTTTCATTTTTAAATGTCTGAGGCGAAGGCATGATTTCAAGTGGCATGACTGAAATGTGGACACACCGGGGTGGGAGTTCTAGTATGGGGTGTACGCAGTCAGGTTCACAACTTGCGGTTGAGATGCTCTGGGATGCATTAACCCTTTGCACTGTGCAGCCTCTTAGATGAAAAAGGTTTTTATGTGCCAGTTCCAAGTCAAACTATGAAGTTAGTCATCTAATCTGTTCCAGTTGGAACAGTTCCTATCTCTGTTTAGTGCTTACTGTCTGGACAGATTGTAGTGTGCAAGGGTTCAGGTCTCATTAATGTATCATATAGAATTGAAAACCTATTCAATTTCATTTTGAAATAATTGGCATATTTTGTTCTTTTTTCTCCCTCTCAATTTACTGATTTCACTGACATGAGAGGAAACCATATAATTATTCCACTGTAGTAGCATCAGAACAGATACTTAAGAGCCTGTTATAGTCATTTGGGAATAGAAAATTGGACACACATAGTGGGATTATTCTAGGGTCTGGGCCCGTAAGGAAATGAGCACTCTTAACTTCCTAAAGTGGGGGAGCTGAAGACTCTCAGTACTTGCCTGTCCCATTCAACTGGGTCCTTTATTTCCTTTACTTTAAGTGTGTGACAAAGCCATTAACTTAAATGGGAACATTAACGCACTGAAAGATGGGTGCAGAGGTCAGCAGCAGGAAACCAAAAGGGAGTGAACAGAATCTTTTAGTGGTCTGGCAGTTTACTTCACCAAATGTAAATGATACACAATTATTTTCTCATTCCTCTGTTTCACTCTCCCATGCTGATCTCTTTCCTGGGTGCTGACGTTTTTCTTCTACCCTGTCTTTGCTAACATTTTCTACTAAATCAAGCAACAAGCTGCCTTTGTTACAGGTGAAAGACTCCTGAAAGTTGCAGGGGCCTGCATCATCTGGGCTGTCAGAATTCCAGTGCCTTTTTCCAGGGTGCTGGCGTTTCTCACCATATCGGTCATTTAGGTCTACCTCATCATTCCAGCCTCTTTTGCTAGGATGCTGGCGCTTGTACATCAGATACCTTCTGCCTGGATGCTGTCTTTTGGATAACTCATTCAAGTAGGCTAGCTGTGCATTTGGGATGTCAGCATACTGATCCGACAATGACCTTCTGCCAGGATGCTGTTGCTTTTTCAGCTGCACATAGCCATCAAGGTCATCTTCTATCTCTCTTTTCCCTGGATGCTGCCTCTTCTGAATGTCTCCATAAGATGTGTCTTCCTCAACATGTCTTCTTCCAGGATGCTGTCTCTTCTCCAGGTCACTTAGGTACTTTTTCCCAGGGTGTTGTCTTTTGGAAAGCCATTCGGGCAGAGGGGCATTTGATTCTGTCCAAGGAAAAGAGTAATGTTAATGAGCCCCCGTAATCCTCACTAAGGAAGTTGAAATGGGAATTTGTGGAGTTCTGTGGTGCAGGATCATAATCTGTTGCTCATGATGCCCATTTAATTTCACAGTTAAGTGTATGGTCTTGAATTTGATCACTCTGGATGGCATCTGTCAAAACAGTTCTGGCACATTTTTAGCAAGGATGGATTGATACATAAGGAACTAGCTGCAGCCAAAGGGGAAGACATGCAATGACAAAGCCTAATGTATTAATTCAGGTAAATGTGTCAGATTCAGGTAAAGGGAGGTGAGTAAAAGATGCTGAGCAGCTGGAAGAAATAAGCTGCAGAAGCTGAGTATGGGGAAGAGCTGGAAATCGGCATGAGACAGGGAAAGGATAGGGCTGAGACACAAGTAGAAGCAGGGATGTGGACATTTGAAAGCCAGCTCAGTATTTCCAGCTACCAATCATAACTCTATTAGTATCTCTTACTCATTCTTAAGCTCTTTTTAATATTTCAGGTCTGGGATCGACATGACCAACTCTCAGTGTTCATGTGAAGAGGGAGGAAGGCTTTTTCTATGGGCACTTGGGGACAGCTCCTCTTTCCTGAAAGGGCTCTGTGCTCCTTGTTGGTGGCAGGCACCTATGTGCTGCTTCTTGCAATCCCTGAGTCTGATTTGCTTTCACTGCTGTGACTAGTGAGAGCAGAGCATCTGCAAGCTAGGAGGTGGCAGACACTAGAGCAGCCTCTGCATTCCCAGCCATGGAAAAGCCCACCTCTGTTAGGGTGTTAGAAACCAGTGGGTTGAGGTAGTAGGTGAATGGCAGCACTCCCACCTCCAATTAACATTAGGTACAGGGTCCACAACTGGGGAATGTCCTCCACGTGTCCTCTTAGAGCTTCCCTAGAGAAGTACTTGCCAGATGGGCAAGTTTTCTGTGACAGGCTTCTACCTTCTTATTATGCAGCAGCTGCTTAGTGATGGTACAGCATTGCCTAAGCGGGGAGATCTTAGAGAAGAAAACGCCTTTTGAGAACTCTGTGTCAGTGTATTGCAGCAGACCTCCTATCCTTCCCCTCCCTTTCGAGTAGTAAATATATACATTAGAACCTGGGAACTATACATTGGATCTTATGATCTCAGCCAAGTACTATGCCAACATCACCAGATGGATGTCCCCAGTGTTATATATACCTTTATTCATCTCGTCTTCCTTTTCAGCTTTCTTGAGGACAGACTGAAGAATGATGCTTTCGGATCTCTGCAGGATATCATCCAGGGTACTTCTTCCCATGTTCTCACTTCCCTCTGGAAGGGGCTGCCCATCGTTGAGGCAAACACCACACAAGGTCAGGCAGAGGAGCAGCAGTGGCAGCTGGATAGGTGGCATTATGGGATGGGAGTTCCTGCAGCTTCCATGGGAGAGAGAACAAGAGGGGAGGAGGATGGAGCAAACAAACCTAGCAATAATAGCTATATTTCCAGACGCTGAAAAAGAAATACGGCACTGCTGAAGGGATTGCAGTCTCTTATGAGGGTCCTTCCTCATTTCTGTTACTAACCTCTCAGTTTATTTTATATTCTTCAAAGAATCTGTAAATTCTTCATAATTAAAACCAGGCACTTGTTCATTTTTCTGGCAGAATAAATATGAACATTTTAAACACCTAAATTCCTGATGCACAGATGGTTCTGAAAGCCAGTGATTTTGCTTTGCCTTCTGCCAAGAGGCAAAAATAATTTCCCTCTTGAACTCTGTGTTAACTGTTGCCCCACATAAGGTACACATACATATACCTGCACTAACAATCTCTACCAGGCAATTCCCTTTGCTAAGGGTTCATTTTAAAATAACACTGGGATTTGCAGCACTTTCATTCCACCTTTAGTTAAAGCCCGACTTTAATAGTCCATTAGTTCTTTAATTATTTCTATACATTTAAAGTAGCCGTGTGTCTGTATATTTCTCAATATAATAAGATAGCTATGCTCCATTTTTCAGGGAGATTTCTTGCATTGGGGAAGCACCTCATATTTTTTTCAGATACAATAATAATAATCATATCCTCTATTACCTCTTGCCCAGATAACAAGTGTTTTTCTATTTCTTCTAGCTAGCACTGGAATTCCTGACGCACTTATCATGGATTTATTTTCCAGTAAGCAGAGTTCCTTCAATAGAATGGAATACATCTTTAATACTAGTATAGCAGTCACTTAGCTTAATTATATCTTCAGAACATAAAAGAAATGCACAATTTTACAAAGTTCTACAAATTTTTAAAATAGTAAGTTTATTACCTCTCTTATTGGCAGGTTTCTATCCTTCTGATGAAGTCCTTGGATAACAGTCCTAACAGTATCACATAGGCTATTTGGCTCAGAGAAATCTTTAGAAGGAAAGTTAGAATCAGCTACAAAGGAAATGATTTGGTAAATTACCTGGTTTGTAGTTTCAGATTTTTGCTTGATGCATCTGCCAAGAGATTGTTCAGTCCTTTAAAGCTGTTTGCACATCTGAGCTTCAAAGTTGCCCTTTTTCTGCTACAGACACACACAGTACACAATAGAACTGTTGCTAAGTTCTCTTTGGATGGCTTGTGTCTCCGTACTTATACCGTACTGCCTCTGAACCCTTTATGCAAATAGCTGTGAGGTAATTTAGGTGATGTGTTGTTTTTTTTTTTAGTGATGTCACAGATCTGCATTTTGAATGCATTGTAAAACTTTGATAGTTATTTGCTGACCTCCCTATATCCATGCTTGACTCCCAGAAATTGCTATTTTTCCATTCTCTGAAGAGATTATGTTGAATTTTATGTAACACAGCATAGAGAAAAGGAGGTTTTTCTCTGCTTAACAAAAAGAAGCTTATGTATCCTCTATTAAGCAAGCACTGTGGAGTAAATGCAGAGAGGTAGGTAATTTATTAAGCTAAGGAAGAAAAACAATGAAAAAAAAAGTAATGGATTGTATTTAAATAAGTTTATACCATGGGTTCTTATTCTGAATGACACTATACAGTTTTTGGCTCACAATTCCGTATTTTCTTGGCATAGGGTTCCATAAAAAGTAAAATAGAATATGAGACGCATAGCATTAGATATTAAAACATCGTTACGTTGCTGCTATGTGTTTCAAAAAGCATTGTACTATTGTAACTAGGAATAAGAGTTCCTCTCTTTAACCCACCTGTCTATTTAAGGTATTCTTCCACACAGTACTACTAAAACCAGATCATGCTGGGGGCACAGATAAAGAGCTAGTGATTCTTTGATAATCTTAGTGGTCCTGATGATAATATGTAGGACTAAAACTGGAGTACGAATTGCTCACAGTATTGAAGCAATTCAGGATTCTTGTGTTGTTACTACGTGGAAGGTTTCAACCAAGTGAAGTCAATGTTTTTCTGCTTTCCCATTTACTACCATTGTCATGAACACAAAACCACCTTTGTATGTCCTTCTCATCACACTGCCATCAAGGTGTTGAAATTAAAATTTGTCTTCAGCAGTAAATAGCGACAAAAACCAACAACCTGTCATCATGGCTTGAGAACATCTTTCTTGGTAGAATACTGGCATTTTAGTAGCTCTCTAGGGTGCTGTGCCACAGTCTGAGACAGAAGGCGTTTTGGGGATACTCTTAAAAACACTGCACTTAAAAGTAGATCAGTTATGCTTATAGGTAATGTGGATCCTTATGTGGCCTGTAAAATTTCCTTAAGGCAAAAGGCATTTTGTGTCTGAACAGATGATGGAAATACCATATAAAACTAAAAAGGGGTGAAGTCAGTTGTTCTCTATCAACGTGACTTACTACCCATCAGAATTTAACAAAAAATGGTCATCTTACAGAGGTTTTTTTCCCCACCCCATTCAATTTTATATGATGGATGAGAAAATACACAAGAAGAATCTTGTTTTCAGTTTTTTAGGAAATGAAAACTGACTTCTTTGGGGTGACTTCAGTGGAATGCAGCCGTTACCTCAGTCTTATTCCATGAGAGTGTGGTCATCTCCTGAATTTTGTCTTAATATCTCAGGAAGAATGTATCAGTAATTGTATATAGATGTGCTTTTTGATATTAATTACTCTGATTTAATTTGAGAAGAGTCTTAGGTGTCGGTGCACTTGTTCCAGATTTGCAGTGGGGACAGAGATGGGGGCTTACAGCATTATAACTGCATTTGTAGCAATTATATTTAAAGCAGAATATATTTTCCTTCTTGTTTGGATTTCTAAGGGAGTTTGAGATATCATGCACCTTATGTGCAGAACACATCTATGGCTTTATGAAGATGATGTCTTTGCCATTCTAAGACCATGTCAATATTGTTTTCCTGAGCAGGCATCAGAACCAAAGATCTGCAAGGCAATTAAATTCAAAGATCAACAGGCAATTTACTAGAGTGGGCCAGTAAACAATGACTGGGCAACTAATAGTCCCTCATCCAAAGCAAAGACCCCTGTAAAGACAGTTCCTATGTATTTTTAGCTTTAAGCAATGCATTAGGGCTTTCCAGGAGTCTAAAGAATGCTGGAAAGTGTTTTAAATGCTTTCATTAATAACAGAGTTGCTTGTTTAACAAAGCAATAGCTGTCTGTAGCTTAGCCCCAGATTTGCCCTAACAAAATGCCTAATCCAGAGTCCACTGAAATCAGCCAGATTTCTCCTTTAATTTAAGTGGGCTTAGCCTTAGAACTTGTCTGTCTCTGACTTGAAATGATCCACTTATTGAATTGAATTTTAAAAAATCCTCTCACACTTTGAAGCATGGCTCTTGAAAAACATAGATGGGAAAAGAGAAGGTTAAACAGCTGAAACACTTTCACATATACAAAATCATATAAGCAAATTAACTCAAGGAACAGCTAAAAATCTGATATTAAAAATAGCCTCCCATATGAATGTATTTAATCTTAGCACTGAGTGAAATGAGTCAGATTTCACTTGTGATACAGCAGTTGACATTGAATTTCTCAGCTACCTAGAAATGATAGGATAGTTAAGACTTATGCTTTGGAACTTTGTATGACTGCAATTTAATAAATCTGCATTTGCCACATATCTCCAATGTGAAAATCCTCATGATATGTAATTATGAGCTGGAAATAATTCTTAGCATGTCGTTCTCCCTCCAGTCTGAAATTAATTTGGACAGCATAGAAGGCTTGCATGTGTAGCTCCACCTTAGATACAGCAGGAGCTGCTCCATGCAGAAGCCTCTTACTGAGTCTTGTAATGCATGTGCAGTAATGGCCAAATGCATGAGACTGTGCAGTCAATGCCCAGTCTGTCACCTAACCCTTGGTAACTTTCTTTTTAAGACTCTCCAACCATCACGAACCAAACTGTGCCCCCTGATTTCTCTGGAGAAGCTAACAGGTCTTCTTCTCCATTATACTATTTCTAGCATAGTCAAATACTAATGCCATATATTTGGGAACTGCTATTGCATCAGTCACAGTGAACCTCATAAGGAACTACATTTAATTCACACTAGCTGCTTGGCATTTCCTGGGTGAAGTAACTCCTTAAGATCTCTTATGATACGACACTTGAGTTTAAAAAATTAATATATTGACCTATAAATTAAAGTGGGCATTGATGGAATGGGAACTGCATTTTTAAACATGTCTTTAGAAAAGTGAAACAGAACAGTGATGTTGTTAAGAATTCTGTTGCTGGCTCCCTACAATGCTTTCTTGATTAGCTGCTGAAGCCAAGCATGCCTTTTAAAGAAATAAATAAATAAATAAGGGATGTTTTCATCATGTGGTTGAAGGCTTCAGTAATTCTGAATAGCTTCTTAATCTTACTTCGTTACATTTCAGTCCCATAATCTCTGTACTTAACAGTTACCAATACCCCCATCCCAGACACAGCTAGCGTCAGTCTCTGGTTAAAATGTTGTCCAGCTATCATCCTATTCAATTTAGCATTCACATTTAATCAGAGAGGCATGAGGTGACTTGATTACTGCATTTATGTCCTTACACACTGAGAAGATAACAACAGGGTGTTTTCTGTATTTATGCTGGTAAAAGCGTAAGAAGTACCTGGAAGCTGAGGTTTAATAAATTTAATTGAATTCAGATTCCTAGCTATGATGATAATTAAACATTGATGTAATTTTCCATATGTAGCCTTGGTGTTGCTTGGAGATTTAGAAATGAAATTCATTTTCTTTTGGCAGGACAAATGTTTTACTAAGACATTTGAGGAAAAATATTTAGGGTGAGGAAAGTGTTTTCCTCTGAGAATGCAAGAATCTTGGTGGCAGTGGAGAGAGATTCTGCTCTGTGGGCCAGGATCATCAGGGCATCTCAGCAACAAATTCTTTGTCTTCATAGGAGTACTGAGATCCATGTTTCCCCAGCATGTAGCAGTCAGCTCTGGGAACAGAAATACTTTAGTCTAACAATTTTTTTTTATCTGATTTAAAGTACCTGGGTGAAAATGGATTAGATCAGATTTAGCTAATGGTCCTTTCTGTTCCTCTGAAAGTAGGAACCACCCAGCAATGAACATCTATGTTCTAAGACTGTAATGCAGTTTTCATAATAAGTGTGCTTAGAAACAGAAATATTACAAAGAGAGTACTGAAATAAGTACAAAGAGTGTCTTGGGCCTGCATGCCTGGCTACAGCAGCAACGTGATTTCAGATTCACAAACGAGGAATAGGGCATCTCCAAAGAAGTTGTGGGGTTTGTTTTTTTTTGTCTGGGCAGACTTCTGGACCACCGGCACCTGGTCAGAACAGGAGTAGTAGCTCCAAATTGGCTCCTAGACATTGTAATGAGTTCCTGGTTACTGGTACAGGTGTTCTACATGGCATAAAAATGCATGCAAATCCCTCATTCCAGCAGGTAGGGGCTAGGAATTCCCTTTCTCTTAGGAATACCCTCTATGCCAGAATGAATAGGAGTACAATCCAATGCTAGGTCAGAAATCCTACACTGTTTCCTACACTGTTCAGGGACTCCTTTCCCATAGGAGACAACTCAAAGGGGAGGCTTTCTGAGTGTTTTGGATCCAAAAGTCAGGCTCAGTGGAATTCAGGGTGAAATTTGGCTTGTATTCTCATTCATTTTATAATCATAATTTCATAAAAGAAGTTCCCTTATCTGTTGACAGAAACTGAATGTCAAAGA